AAGGTGTCATTATCAAGATGCGGATGGAGCAGGAGATCGTAATGAATGGGAATGACGTCCCTGGGCAGTCGGCGTTCCATCCATCCCGCCGATCCTGAGACGGCGACCGAGAATCCCATCAAGGCTAGGAGAGTCAGCACGAGCGGGGACGGAGGGTCCAGCCGCGTCTTCCATCCACATGCACGAAGACTGGACTTCGTGCGGAGGGGGTCCAGCCGCGTCTTCCATCCACATGCACGGAGACTGGACTCCGGCCGGCAAGGAGGGTCCGTGTCTTCCATCCCCTCGTGCGGTGACTGGACTCCGTGACTTCCTCCTCCGCGGCTTAGCCCTATCTCGAGGGTGTTACCTCACTCTCCCTTCCTCTCGCTTGGTCATTTGACGCTGTCATGATAAGCGTTATTGATCGGAATCTCTCAATTGAGGAGAAAGTCATGAGTGTGCATTTCCCAACTTCCAGGGTTCCTCTCTATTTATCGGGTGGATTTCGCAACTTTACATGGTTACGTACGAAATGCGAGAGGTGGTTTCCTGAAAAAATTTACGATGTGACACCCTTTATCTGGTGGTTTCAGGAAAACATCAATTAAATTAATCGCAAAGAGCCGAGGAATAACTTTCTTTCTTGCGAAGTTAAATGAGGAAATAGACTTGATCATAGCTGACATTGTGCATACCAAAATTGGTTACTTCAGATCTGAATGATCAAGTTCACTGCAATTCACTTGAAATAAACGATACGGAGTCACCGTTTTTGGCAGGACCTGACGACGCTACCGCTTCCTGATTGACGGCGACCCGTCGAGTTCGGGAAATATCAATAATACCATGTGCTTCCTTACTCTATAATGGACCGTCGAAGGCTACCTCGCTTCTTCCTTCTTTATCTCGAAAACTTTTCGGTTTACGAAAAATTCTGCTTAAACAAGAATTGTAGTCTAGAGTCTGTCATAGCCAGTGGTATGATTGTTTTGGCCGTTTGACCACAATTAAGCGACATGAACGTACGCCTAGGATAACGTCACAATCATGCGTTTCCCTTTCCATCAGACGCCATCCTTCTCAACCCACATCTCGACAATGACATGGCCAACGAAAAATCCCTTTCTGACAAGATTTGTTGCCTAGACTCGACCCTAACCGGTGGTATAAACGTTGAAGCTGTGCGCCTTCATTTTAGTCTCTTACGCCTCCAAATGGGACCTTCCTCAATCTCCCGGGAAGTCAGACGACGTTCCTTCTCTCTCAAGCATCTCCAAAATGGCTTGGCTCATGAAATATCCTTTTCAGACAAGATTTGGAGACGAATGTCCGTTCTGACCGGCAGCATACGTTTCATTGCGACTTGTTCCTATATTTTCTATGTATGTTATTGATTCCATTCCACGATCAAATTCAATTGCTTTCAGGCTTGTCTTTTTTTAAACTCGCATCTTACCTTATGGCACTGCCTGTTGGAAGATGCATGGCAGAAGCTGGTCTTTATAGAAGAGTTCGATGATTTATAGACTTTCCTCCCGTGCCTCTTCAGGTTGCACACGGGTGATTGAATACGATTAACGGAATGCCTGGGCAATAAGTCCCGTTCAGCTTGGAGAGACAGCGCAAGAGAAAAAAAAATTATTGGAAGGAGAGAGAAAGAGTATCCTTCCCTCGTCATGAGATATGAAATGAATAAATATTTAGTCCAGCTTGGGATGATTGCCTTTCTTTTTCCCGAAGCTTGCCAATTTCAAGTAGGGGAAACCGAACGGCATTTTGCACGCACATACTTATTCCGAATTTCTTCCTTTATCGTTACAATTGTTAGTATCATATTCCCTGCTCTGGAAAAACGTCCCTATGTCTATATTACGCAAAGGAAAACGGTGCCGAGTTTTTGGGATTATTGGATCTCCCAACATAGGTATGATATTTCGTCTCGTGAATAGGAACGTACAGCTACGAAACGCATACCGCCGGCCAGAATGGATCCTGAGCTCAAAATTTTGTCTGAAAAGGATGTTTCATGAGACAAGCCATTTCGGAGATGCTTGAGGCGAAGGAACGTCGTCTGACCTCCCCGGGTGAGGAGGAAGGACCTTTTCTTGAAAGTGCAAAATTCAAAGAGGATCTTGACGCCCAAATTTCATTTCGCGAACATTGTGCTAATGAGAAGTTCCCATTGGATTGGCCGAGGATCGAACAGGATGTTGGCTTCAGGATAACCTGACAAAACCCCCTTGGATTTTTTTTTTTTTTGCACGGGGTACATTAAGTCAAAGGCTTACAGCTCAAAAGTTCTCAATGCTGGAGATTTAAGAGATCGTATCTATGCTGCTGTTAACACCATAAACATGCTGAACATGCTGAACATGCTGAAAATGCTGAATGTTCTGGGAAACAACGTTTCCAGTTATGTATCGATTTGGAAGGTGGCCATGTGGAACGTTAGTATTAAAAAATGTTAATAACTGATTTTTAATTTACTATTACCAGTTTCATTTAGTTCATTATTGACACTGTGAAGTGCACATCATGCATTTTTGTAAGAATTTTGAGTTTACAATAAAACATATTGGGACTTCGTGATCACCCTGTATTTCCCGAACTCAACAGCTCGCCGCCCATTGCAATCAGGCGCCAACTTCTAAATAAAATTTGGGGGGCGGGGGGGCGGGGGGGGGGGGGGGGCGGGGTGGTTTGCAGGGCATGGAGAGCGACGAGGTCCCGCGCCCTTCCACCCTAACCATTACGTCGTGACGGGGATCTTTCAGTTGGAGATGTAATCTGAGAGGAACATCATATTCTTTATATATTTCGTGAAACAGCATTTCGTTTCCCATGTTCCATGAGCCGTACTTCTCTTGCACTTAGGCCATTCTCTGGGGGCATTACCCCCCAATAAGATAGTTGAGGGGGCAAGTGCCCCTTTACCCTCATGGGTTCGGCGCCATTGATCAGCGCGCGGCTGCATAGAATCCACTTGGAGAGCGTATACGTGTTGAATGTCGAACCCGGGACATTTTCTTCCGATAACGCACGTAGATCCGGATGTGCGATGTTGCGAACTTTTCTATCTCAGGATATGCCAGATTCAGCACGAGAAGCTTTCTTCATAGGAATTTCGATGAATTTAAGCAAGAAATCGTTTTCTTTTTGCCCCACACACACTGAAATCGAGAACCTCCCGTCTGAACCCGTCTGAACCTGTCTGAGTCAAGTTTGAACGTGAGGCATGACCTCGCACCTGTCACGTGACCCCCCAAACTTCGATTATTAATCCGTCTTTATTTAGCCACATATTGAACTCATTTCCGCTATCAAGTTCATTCCTGAGACCATGCGAAATGGCACGACAAGCCGAAAAATTTGCCAAGTGAGCTTCGCCCAATTTTAGGGAGGGCATAACCGCGCACTAAAATTCTTAAAATATGCGAAATCCAGGTTGCAATCGTCTTTACGAATTCCACTTCATGCTCATATCCATACCAAGTTTCAATTAGCGGAACCGCTCCAAGGTCCCCGAAGCAGTTGGTAAAAATGAGTTGGACCAATGCCCATTGGCAACCAATGGGCATTGGTCCAACTCGATTTGGCGGGGATCAAAATGATTTGGTTCAGGCGATTGATTTTCCGAAATCAACTGTTAAAGGGGAATTCGCGGGCCGAGAAAATGAATTGGCGGGTCGGATCCGGCCCGCATCTTGGCTAAAAAAAAATTGGCTAAAGCAGGGGGCTTTAGCCAATTGTTCAGCCTCTTCTGTCGGCATCAGTCAAAATATTTCCCAGAGAGCATTTAGAATTCCTTGCGAACGATTTCATGCGCCAAAAACGCAGTCGCCCGAAATTGAGCATGGCCATTAACAGGTAATCTGTCGAAAATAATGTGACCCGGCCGCAAACAAAATTCTTTTTTTTTTTTAATGATAAAGTGATCACAGGACGCATTGCCCGTGGGACGCTATTACTCACGCCATCACACAGCCGGAAAAGGCCAACTTCCTCTTTCCATTCAGACTTCCCGAAAATCGCGTGTCCCCGCCACTTCCTGGGAATTCCGGATGTCAACTTCATCAAGTAGTGTGAAAACAGTTTTTGAATGCCCTTCTGATATCTTCAAGTCCCCCTCCCCCGCATTTCCTGCCGGCGTGTTTTCTGTCCTCAAAAAATTTATTTTCTCCAGGAATTAAATATCGGCTTAGACATTTGCCATGTCAAGCATTTACAAGAACTATATAAATAAATAGCACCTCCAAATCACACAAATTGTTTTTTTTTATTATATTACCATTTGTGGTACGTTATCTCCCTGCAATAACCAGCGTCTCTATTTCTCAGGTGGAGTATTGGGAATGAAGAGCTTCTACCCTGCCTGGACGCCAAAATCTACCCGTTGCCTCATGAGCGAAGGGATCGCCTAGCACAAATAATATTCCACTGAATAACACATATTATATCCAACTGAATAACACATATTATATCCCACTGAATAACACATATTATATTCCACTGTGGGTATTATTGAAATGTTGCGTGCGAATAAAGCGAAGCCCCTTTCACCAGGATAACGCAATCACCAGTAACTCATTCTATTTTGCCGATTCCCTAGCCAATGAGCGAAAAATTGCAACGTTATTTCGTATCTTATATTGCTCGTTTCAAGTTTATTTCCCGGAATTTCGGTTGAGGTGGGGCTATTTTCGCGAGATTTTTGCGAGATTTTTGCGAGATTCCTGTTCAGGAGATTAATGTTTCTACTCGAAGTCTCATCTGTTGCCTTTCTTGGGAATTTCCCATGTTTTGCGTGCCGTTGCGAGGAATGGCGTCAGCAAAGGGAACATTTAATTATAAGGAGGGGGGAAGGCATGTGAATTATGCACTTATTAAGCTGAAAATTTATGGAATGGAGTTTCACATTCCTAGATCAGTCATTAACATGTTAATGAAGTTGATGAAGATGTTAATTAATGCGTTTCACCAGCCTTTTTGGTCCTCATATGACAAAAAAAAAAACAACCTGAACGGATTGCTGGTTTTATTGCTCGAAAATCAAGGTACCGTAAAATAACCCTAGAAGAGTGCAAGGGATATCCTCGTCCAATCAGAGGTCTCGTCCAATCACATGGCTCGAATTCACACACGTGCATCCCGCGCTGCCGAGGGCGGGCCGAGGGCCCGCTCTCACGCATCCAGGAATCGAGTCGCCATCCAGGCGAGGGAGGCGAAAGGCAACAGGAATGGACTGACGCGCGAGAGGGAGGCCGGGTTGCAGTCGTCCTCGTCGCAGTAGCACTTGGTCACTCCGTAACTCGTGTCGCATTTTCTATCGTCGTCCTTGACGTTTTCTTGGCAGTATCGCGCCGTCCACTTATCTGCGCACGGATGTACCAAATTATTTCAACAAAGGAATCGCATCACAATGATACATCTTCCTCTCTTTTCTATAAGTAATCTTATCATTCGAGTCACGTAAAGGAATGAGACTCGGCTCGTCCTTATCACAGGAATGGAGTCTCCAGAGATGGAATGCGTCCTTCGTTCATTAAAAGGGCAAAACGACGGAAAGAATGAATGGCAAAATGGAGTTTTCGGCATCTATTGTTCTTCTATCTAAGAACCAGCCGTAGAAAATCGTCCAATTCGGTTTCACGAATGGCGAATGATGAATGCAATTTCTGGAAACTCCTCTTCAAGATACAGATATAGTTCAGAGTTTCCTTTTTTTTCTTCAAATTTTTTTTTCCACTTCTCGAAGGCAAATTCACATTCAAAGCTGTTTGCTTTGCAAAGCCCTGCTTCGGGGCACATGTCGCAAAAAAAAAACGCACGGACGTAAGCGAATACGCATCAGGTAAACCGTGCCGCAGGCGACAAGGACAAGATAAGCTCCCACAAAAAAATCCATCTTTAAGCGGGTTCATTTAACCTATCTCAGGTCAAACGAACGCTCGACCTCGACACGGTACGCGTTGACGGGCAGAACTGCAACTCCACATTCCCAAACCCGGCAGCGTAATTACATCGAATGAGGATTTCATCCCCTTCATCCCCTTCATCCCCTTCATCCCCTTCATCCCCTTCATCCCCTTCATCCCCTTCATCCCCTTGCTTCTCATACATAGAAAACTAAGCCTCTCGTGTGATTGTGCAACAAAGGATGCTCCCATCTGCCAATGAGTCAATTTTAAACATATTTAACTGCGATCGAAGACTGCCCCCGCCACCCTCCAATGAGTAAACATAGCAGATACCCACCGTTAGCAATGGAGAAACCCACCGTTAGCAGAGGAGAGACCCACCGTTAGCAGAGGAGAAACCCACCAGTGTACTCCTTGGCGCAGGCGACGTCGATCCGGCGGGGGCATGTCTTCTTCACCGTCTCCGGGTCCTCCATGTTCTTGCACTCTGGGATGCCCTGCGAGTTCCCGAAATCTTTCGTGATCTTGTTGTCGATCTCCTGCGCTCGGGTGTAGTTCGCCAGGTTCTTGTCCAAGGTCGGGCGGCAGATGTGGCACGACAGGGTGTCCTCGCCTGAGAGCAGCAACAGAATTAATGGAGGTGACGCCCTCCCGATCTTCTTTCAGCACGCTCGTGGCGGTACTTGATATATGTATTTATATAAGTATTTAGATGAAAGCATTTACGTGAGTAGGCGCCTATTTCAATTCGATCCTTACCCGTTTCAAAATTCAGCCTCTTCCTATTCCTCTCTGAGAAGATCTGGAAAAACGGAATTGGGCATTCTTCGCGCCCTCTCTGCTCATAATTGCTAGAGCAATTTTTAATTGCTAGCTATAATTAATAGTTAATAATTGCAAGAGCAATTTTGAGTTGAGAGCATTCGAAGCTCCATCTCCCCGGGTTTGAGACAACACCGTTTTCGAAGACGCGAATTCCGGATTATTTGTTCTCACTCCCCGGGTAACCACTCCTGGGGGGTGAGGAGATAACCCCAGAGAAAAATATTGACTTGGGGGAGAGAGAGAGGGAGAGAGAGAGAGAGGAGGGAGAGAGAGAGGGAGAGGAGATTGAAGATATCGGAAAGGTTTTGAAAGATAGTTTTCACAATGTTTGATGAAGTAGTCATCCGGAATCCCCAGGATGACGGGGCGCATCCAATTTTCAGGGAATCTTAATGGAAAGAGGATGTCGGCCTTTTCCGGCTGCGCAATAACGTGAGTAATAGCGTCCATGTTCAACGCGTCCTCTAAGTTCGTTTTTTAAATTTTTTGTGGGGGGAGGGGGGGGGGGGGGGGG